TCCGGATGGATGCCGGGGTGCGGATGCGGTCCGCCTTTTGAACATCTGTTATATAAGTATTTACGGATAAAAGACTCGAGTTGCTTTTAAAATTTTCACGATTCCTTTTCCTTTTCCTCGAGTCAAGTCTGGAGTCTATAAAAATGCGACTCGAGTCCGAGTCACTAACTCGAGTGCCCATCTCTGCATTGAGATTGAAAACGTGAAAAGCATTTAGTCTTGTCTCATATATTTCCAAACATTGTTTTGCTGCTGAGAGAGAAAAAAAACCCAAATCTACAGGTTCCAGACCAGATCCTTAACGTGATTGTTTCACATTATGAAGAATAGTGATTTTATAAAACAGTCATAACCCTATATTTTCCCAATTCATTCATATTGTGTCAGATCAGCAACTTCTCATTAACGAGTGAATGTGAAAAAAAATCTAAGTTTTGAATGTTTTCATATTATTGCTGCATTTACTGTTTTTAATAACTAAAAATGTGAGATTTTTTTCAGTTTTAAAATGACACATGAACTACACCAAGAAAAACTACAGTGAAAAAAAAATCATTGTATGAAATTTATAAGAATATATAACCACAGAATTACTGGAATGAACGGAATTTAATTAAATTCCTTTATTAATGTATAATTAATAAATGATTGCTCAAAAACAGTCCAAATTTATGAACCCTACGTATTTATTTCTATCAAAACAACATAAATATTACTCTGAAATAATAAACTAAACTTTCAGATTAAAACGTTTTCCGTTTTTATGCTGCAGTGCAGGGGCAATTCTAGGATTTTCATTTTAGGGGGGCTCAGCCCCCAGTGAGGGTATGTATATAATAATAATAGCCTAATAATATACTGTATATATATATATATATATATATATATAAATAAAATAAAAAATGTTTGATTAATAGGGGTCGTATACTAAACTTATTGCAGTATTCCACTGTTGCCACATGCACTGGAATATGTATTATATTGAAAGTTACATTTTCAAATGAAAATGGCAACATGATCGTTTTTTAAAGTATGCGTTCATATGTGCTTAATTTTCGCTGGAGGAAACAGCTGTGGTGTGATGAGGGGTGAACGCAGTGACAAAAAGGCTACAGTAGATGGGGAACCGATTATTGCTCCCCCATGATATTTGGTAAACTGGATTTATGACAGCACAGATGCAGATATTATAACGATTTATCGATAAGCACACACCTTGTCCTCTGTTTCTCGCTCTGCGCCGCCGCGCTCTGCGGATTGAAAAAGAATGCGCTGAAAGACGGGGAGGAGCCGATCGAAGTCTGTCGCCATTTTCATATGAAATTTAAAGGGGACCTGAGGCGATCACGAATTCGTGTGCAATTTATGGAGCTAATCGCAAGATTTTAAGGGGGCTGAGTAGTCATTTTAGAATTCCCTAAAAATGGCCTAGCGACGCCCATGCTGCAGTGGCTCATCAATAGACATACACATTCATGTCCATCAACAAAATTCATCCCAAAAAGTGTGTGAGATATGGAGAAAAGACAAAATATATTTTACAAAAGTTTTTGACAGTAATATAACTCCATAGACAATTTTACAAAAAGTTTTTTTGACACTATTGGGACTCCATACATACCTGGGTCAAAATGATCGGAACATGAAACCTGCAACATCTTTTAAAAAATAACTAAAAAATCTTTAAAAAAAAGGTCTTAAAGCACTTGTAAAGTTTTGTTCCCTTACTAAAGACTATGCTTTTTTTTTTTTTTTTAAAGAAATTTTTATGCATCTCTTTAGTGTCCAAACAGTCTGGAATGCATTACAAGGGTTAAATCAGGATTTTCTGTGTCAAGCAGTGTTTTATTATGGTCTGCTTTCTGAACTCCAGGCCAGACTAATCATCCGTAATGCAGGCACCGAGGTCACGTCGATGTTATTAATCTGTGTTAAGCCAGAGACACAGCATTCATTCTGTAATATGTTTAATAGATGACAGATTAACAGCTAACCTGCATTCAGAGCTCCTCCAGTCGCTCACAAACAACACAGAGACGAAAAACCCACAGACAGCAAACAGACATAATGAAATTGTCTCAGAAGACGATTGAATGTCACCCTTGACCCCTTTTAGTGATTGTTAATGAACCCATTCATCATCATTGTTTCATATTAGTTTACTGAAATACAGAAATGGATTGTTTGATTATTAAAGGATTATGATTATTTGATCTTCACAAGCAACAGCGTGACTGAATTGTTAACAACCAATGACACATAAAACTCTCAAATACTGAACTCTTCTATGAGTTTTAACTATTATTGGTTATGACATACACTACTGTTCAAAATGTTGTTTTATTTAAAGAAATTGATACTTTTATTAATCAAGGATGCATTAAATTGATCAAAAGTGTCAGTAAAGACATTTATAATGTTACAAAAGATTTCTATTTCAAATAAATTATGTTCTGTTGAACTTTCTATTCAGCTGTGAATCCTGAAAAATAAAATGCATCACCGTTTCCACAAAAATATTGTGCAGCACAACTGTTTTCAATGTTGATAATAATCAGAAATGTTTCTTGAGCAGCATATCAGCATATTAGAATGATTTCTGAAGATCATGTGACACTGAAGACTGGAGTAATGATGCTGAAAATACAGCTGCGCATCACAGAAATAAATTACAGTTTAACAGATATTCATATAGAAAACAGCTATTTTAAACTGTAAAAATTTACTGTATTTTTGATCAAATAAATGCAGCTTTGGGGAGCAGAAGAGATTTCTTTTTATCAAAAACATTAAAAAACAAAATATCCTGTTTCATTCAATGTGTTACTTTTCGTTTCTGTGTAATTATTTGTGAAATTTCCTCGCAGTTTCTGTAGTGTATTTTAAAGGGGTCCTATTATGCTCTTTTACAAAGTCTTGATTTTGTTTTGGGGGTGTACTAGAACAGGCTCTCATACTAGCTTGTTCGAAAAACACATTCTTTTTCACATATTTTACATTATTACAACACCTCTCTCCCCAGTCTAGCATGAACTCGAATAGTTCCTGTATCAAATGAAAGCCCGCCTTCTGAAATACGAAATGTGCTGTGATTGGTTAGCAAGGCCAGTGTGTGTTGTGATTGGCACCACTCGGCGCCTGGTCGGGAAATGTCATGCCACTCGGCACCTGGTCGGGAAATGTCATGCCCCTTACCATAG